TTATCGATATTGTTAAAAACGAAGGTAACAATATCTTGAATAAAATTCACATTTTTCAACAAACCTCGTACATAACTAAAAACGATTGATACCTGATTGTTAGGTTTTAGACCATGCAGAAATTTTTATAAAGAATAACTTTTTTTTTATTAAATTTATAGTGAAAAAATTTCCCATACATGGTACTTATCGACTTCTGTAGGTCGAATTTCTACAATGAACAATTTACCTTATTTGTAACCACTTTCGTACAAAATTTTAAAATAGCAATAGGGGTTGACTGATATCCCAATTAAAAGAGTTTTTAACTCTCTATTTAATGTCTTACATAATTTTGAATTTTCTTTATTAGTATTGGACTAATTAAATTTTAATATAAATACTCGTATATGGAAGCAACTTAAAATAGACTTTTTTTGTCAAGAAAGTATGGTGATCATTTTGAACATTCAACTTAAATATTAGTTTACAATAATGTCATCCAATTAATAAACAAGTGTCGTGCTGTTTTGTCTATTTAGTTTATTACTTTTTTTATAATTTGGTGTCATCAGCATCAACTACTAAGGTTATTAGCCTCGTGTTCTATGAAGGCTTTAGACTGTTTTTCAGTGCCACTTTAGGAACTGCACTGTTAATTAGAAACCAACAGTGAATGGTCAAGTAGGGAATCCACAATCTTACCTATGAATTAGAATTTAATAACTTAAATAAAAATCTCTGTTACCGGCAGGATTCGAACTTAAGCCCCTTCGCTCTTAAAGTAATTACTCTAACCACTGATCCAACCCACCCCTTATATTACATATTTTAAAATTTAAGTCAAAAATCAATAAATCAAATTAAAAATGATTTAAAGCGTTGAGTAGATAATTAAAAACTTTACAGATGAGCTATGATTTGACCCACGTTTTCTTTTAAAATTTTAATGGTGGTGTAGTTACCCTGAATAAGTGGTAAAAATTATTTATTAATGAAATGTGCTTTATTAGAAAAAAAATCTACCTGTTCGTGCATTTTCGATAATATTTTACGGTAACACTTTAAGTTCGCACTGTATATAAGCTGCAGACATGGGCGCCGCTACACGAGGACAAGGGGGGGCGCTTGTCCCCCTAGATTTGTGATTTCGGAATTTTTCGCCATGGTTTTTGAGTATACACCGCGTCGTTTTGACCTTGCCTATAAGACTTGCCCTCACTCCCCTGGAAATTTGTTAAACGACGCCCATGGCTGCAAATATAGTCTCAAGGTATGAAAAATTATTAATAATCTCTATTGTTGTAGCTTTATTCAATGGATAAAAGAAAACTCTAAATCAATGCCTGAATTGAAATTAAATCAACATCCTATAAATATAGATAGTTACTATAAAGAATGAACCTTAAAACATATTTCTAAAGTCGGCTATGACCGACAAGGACAGAGATACGAGTTATGTCCGTGATAACTACGAGCGGCTCTGAACTAAATCCAATCTGACAATTAAAAAGAAGAATTGTTCGCTCGACGTCCATTAGTGTGTGGAAGTTCAATATCTCGGTTGTTTTTGAAAATACGAGAAAATGTTGCATACAATACAAAAGTTTTACGGTTGGCAGAAACGGAGATTGTAAAAATATTTTCCAATGTACAGGGGTCTTCCAAAAAGCAAGGCATCATAAAAATTATTTTTTTACAAATGGAACACCCTGTATTTTATTTTTAAATTCTACTAAACGCCGTTTATCTAAATTCAACTTTTTTAAAGCTTTTGACATTTGAAAATTGACATTTTCAGACTTTAACAAGCTTGAAGAGTAAAACAGTGTTTTAGTTTTTCGTATCCCATTCAGATATGCTTTTGGAATAATTGAATATACAGAGTATCCTGAAATTAGATGGTCATATCTTAACAGCGTAATCTACATCCTAAAATAGGAGTAAAAGTTCATATAAACATAGGCCCGAAAACGTTTCTTTTCCGAGATACAGGGTGTTAAAAGTGAAGTCCTGATGACACACTTTTGTAAATATTTTCTAAACGTTTAAAGATAACTAAGTGAAAGTTGGTACAAATGCTTACCTTTTTACGCTCTATTTAATGGACTAAACCCCAGTTTTTGATCGTCTTCATAGGTGGGTAAATTAGGAGGGGCTTAGGGTAGAATTGCCCTAAGTTTTTTTTACAGTTTTTAACATTTTTGGCTATAAAATTTGGAAAACCAATGTTTTCTTTATAATAAAGCTATTTTTGTTGCATCCCGTTAGAACGCACCATTTTCAAGAGAAAAATATTTGAAAATTTCATGATGTTATCTTATTCAATAATTAGTAGGCCTCTGGAATCAGAAATTTAATTTTTTTTTAACTCTGGAAAACCGGTGACTAAAGAATTTTTAGAAAATATTTACAAAAATGTGCCATCAAGGCTTCACTTGTAACACCCTGTATCTCGAAAACGAAACGTTTTCGAATCTATGTTTATATGAACTTTTACTCCTATTTTAGAATGTAGATTACGTTGTTAAAATATGACCATCCAATTTCGGGACACCCTGTATAAAAATCCAAATTCCGGTTGAATATTTGTATTAAGTATATAGAACTAAGATAGGAACAGGTTAACCTTTTTACCCTAATTTTAATCGTGTAGATGCTATATACAGCTTGTCAAAGTGTGAAATAGTTTCAATTCGAATGTCAAAAGCTCAGAAACAATGGAATTTAAACATATTATGGTGATTTAGACATAAATACTTAGATTATTTAGTAGAATTCGAAGATTTGAAGGAATAAATTTTGTTGCCTTGCTTCTTGAGGCACCCTGTATATTGGAAAATATTTTTTCAATAAGCGCCTTTGTGAACTGTAAAACTTTTGTATTTAATATTTTCTTATATTTTCAAAAACAACCAAGATATTGAACTGCCACACACTAATCTACATTTTTCCAAGTCCTACTTTAGAAACATTTTTTGTCAGTCACCCGTTATTTTTTCTACTACGTTGCTGTATACGTTTTAATATTTTTTACATTTTTATCACAATAAGTTCACCATATTTAAAAAAAAATAGGATTTACCTCCTCTTAGAATTTCCTGATGATGGTTAGTTAACCGAAACAAGTTGCTACTTTACATTTCGTTGTAAATCATTACATGTGGTATAGATTTGGAGTTTTCTGTATTCGATTGAATACAGTCTTTTATTATTTTGTGACAAAACTCTTACTGGTTTTTATTAATCACTGATAAGGTCTAATTTGATAAAAAAATTAGTTAAAATAAAACAGAGTTATACTTACTGACTAATGTATTTTTTTTTAATCAGGCTCTTCATATCGATCACATGTTTACACGTCGGGGAAATAAAAATTCGGGAAATATTTATTTACGGATTCAAAAAAATCGCATATACGAGTTACTTAATAATATTTATGTGTATACATATACATACATAAACACAACAATTCATATTTTGAACACAACAAGTAAAAATACAATTTAAATGAAAATAGGTACAAAAATTTTTAAAACATAATTTTCCAGTTTTAATCACGAAACGTGACGAAAAATAAATATTAATAAAAAAAATAATAATTTTTGAAAGCCCAACCGAACAAAAAGGCGTACAAATTAAGTAAAACAATGGCCAACTCGAGATCATTTTATAAATAGCAAAAAACGTTGGCTCAAAATAAACAGTTGAATAGCATCATCAATCTCCTATTCTAACAATTTTCAGAATATTTTAGATAAAATAAACTGTCTAGTTAATTTTCCTATTAATAAAAAAAGGGGAAGGTAGATGAAATTAAGTCGCGAATTTGTTTAGATCTAAGAAATCTAGAGTTTTAAGTTGCGATATTTTTTAAATTATAAATAATCGGCACAACATAACAACCACCCAAAACAATTATGGCAATTTAAAAAATATTAGGAATACCCAGGCCATTCTTATAAAAAATATAAATCAAAAATTCTAATATACTTAATAATAATGTTTAATGTTTTTCATTATTGTTTCAAAAGCATATGTCTGACAATTTAAATTTTTTAAATATGTTTTTGCCATTATTTTGACATAAAGACCTTTAATAATTTTTCTATAAGGTTCTAGAAAAACAATGAAAAAAATTGTAATTTAGCAAAAATTAAATTAAATTTTCAAATATATTTTTTAATTTATGCTTTCATGTTTTTTTTTTTAATTTGTATATTATAGTAAATATTTTAGGAAATTATTTTTTAAATATTTTTCCTACCTAAATTTTAAAATCATCTACCTTCAACCATCATTAGTTAAAATTGAAATATGTACACCAGTGTTATCGATGTTTTTTTTTCTAATCAATAAATACATCAGACACGTGACAAAACCTGGTTAGTATAGTGGTTTGTAGTAATTTTACAATAAAATTCGGATTTCTAGAGAAGTCGTTTCCAGTATATTACAATAGTTTAGTGACAATTACACTAAGCTGAAAGGTATCAATTGTTGAACAAATTATAACGAAAAATAAAATTTTGCATCAACCGTATACAACAAGCCACAGATATACAGGTACCTAAAAGTATTAATAATTATTATGTACATCAACTTGCAAGGTAGTCCTGGTGGTACGCTAAAAATTTGCTATAATTCGGACACACAGCGTTTTTTAATTTTTTTTTTTTTTAATTTCAATAATAAATTGGTGAAAGTAGTAAAATGTCAAATTTTAAAAAAATCAGTAAGTAATTAATAATAGATAACTGAAATAAAATATAATTGAAATTAAATAACTAATTTTAAAAACAAGAAATAACAACTAGGTTTATTAATCTCAAGAATAATGAAAATAATTATTATTCTCGAGTTAACTTTTATTATATAAAATTAATCTGAATTTTAAAAGTTTTAAAAATTTTAAAACATTAAATTTTTAGAATATTTTTTTTATCAACTTTATTTTTAAAAATTTTATACAATTGTTTTAGAAATATTTTAAAATGTTTTTACATCAATTTTTTTATGAACCATCCGTTTTTTATATTATTAAAATATTAAGATTTTATTTTTAAAATAATCAATGTTTCGTTAAATTTGTTAGCATCTTCAGGGCATTAAATAATAATGGTTTTTAGAAATAGGTACATTTGGCATTTTTTTTATAATTTTAATTCTGCTAAAAAATAGTAACACTATCAGCCGATTGTAATGACGTGCATTTATGAACCTGATAAACTTTGACAGGGCTTGAGAAAGTGATGTAAAAATGACATAAACTTCAAATTACTAACATATTCAACATTTATTAAAGTTTATCAGAATGTTAAATTTAAAAGAACGTTCTTGAAACCAGCTGTCAGACAGATAATATTTTGGCCTTACATTTTAATAAACGTTATTGCTTTAAATTTACAGGATGTTTCTAAATTCATGCGACAAAATTCAAGAGGTGATTGCTCGTATGAAATTAAGATGGATCTTTCCTACAACAAAATTTCCTCAACCCACCCCTTTTCGAGATGTCACCCTTAAAAGGTGACTAAAATTGAGTTTTTATTTTTTTCTAAAATTTAACATCTTTACTGTTTTCCACTCAATTTATTTAAAAAATTATAAATTATGGTGTTTATTTTTTTTCTCTGTAGCTATTGGTTTTGGGAAAAAAATTTAAGAATAAACATTTTTTTTAAATAAAACAAGGATTTCAAGTTATAATTTTATTTCATAAAACTTCATCTCGAAAATAAGTTTTGATATGAAATAAAGTAAGGGTTGCTGTTTTCACCCTCCTATAATCTAACAGGAATATTGAAAAAATACCCGTGGTAAGTCCTTTGCAAGTGCAAGTGAAAATTACAAAATTTCAAGTTTCTAGCTTTTCTGAAATTTTAGAAAAAAAAATAAAATCTCAATTTTAGTCACCACCTTTTAAGGGTGATATCTCGGAAAGGGGTGGGCTGAGGAAATTTTGTTATAGGAAACATCCGTCTTAATTTCATACGAGCACTCACCTCCTGAATTTTGTCGCATGAATTTAGAAACACCCTGTACATGTATACCTTATAAATTAAAATTATAAAATATTTAATAGAACTGTAAATTTATTTTATTAAAATAAAATGTAGTCAGGTATAATTTATTAGAAAATATTTTTCTATTTTTATATATTTAATAAAACAGCCAGGAATTCAAATACTAAATTCGTTAATGTCAGTATTAGAGCAAATATTGCGAAATTGACTAATACCGCCAGGACTAATGTAGAAAATTAAAATTAACACAGGAAAATTATGGCTGCTTACATTTTAAAATTCTATACCTGCAATAATTTACTATACATTGAACTACAGGCAACATTGATTACAGTAATCATAATATACCAACGAATTACAATCTAATGACAAAATTACAGTCGATGTATATACAAAATAAGTCTTAAACGTTTTTTTTTTTTTAATAACCATCCTCAATTAATAATACAATGAAGTAAATAACTACCTTACCCGAGGTAGCTAATCTTTCCCGTGCTTTGCACTAGATTTATTTGCACAAGCCCAAATATCCGGAAAATTAAAAAAGTTTTCAGTAAATTCACAAATATAACAAATATAAATTTACTCTTTGGCACTGCAAAGAATGTTTTTTAGGGTAAGTATTCGTCAATACGCCCCAACTGAACTAAGTCATTCAAGCACTTACATAAATGAAACTAAAGAGTATTTAATTGGCTATCCCGTGGTGGTGGTGGCCCAGTACAACCCCAGAAAACGGCATTTGTCACTGATGATGTTTTAACGTCCCATTAGCCGAAACGCCGTGGTGATTAACAATGTGATGCGGCGTGTGCACCTGATGTGGCGGGTGGTGATGGGAACCATGGTGATTCTGGTTGTTGGTAGCCGAATTGTTGTTGTTCTGTTGTTGGGTTTGCTGCCGTTGGGAGTTTTTTTTATTTTTCATTCGACGATTTTGGAACCAAATTTTCACCTGCCTTTCGGTCAGGTTCAAATTTCGCGCCAACTCCCAACGTTTTTGTTTCGAAACGTAGGCGTTGAATAGGAACTCCTTTTCCAATTCTAAGGTTTGGTACTTCGAGTACGGTTTGCGCTTTTTGCGAACGGTCACTTGTCCCGTCCATTCCAGAGGATTGGTTCCGGCACCGCAAGGAACTGATACGCTCATGGAGCCCAAGGAACCTGAAGCAAAAAGAGATGGGGATGATCCCCACATAACTGTGAAAAATTAATTATTCATAATAAGAATTGATTAGTTACAAACTACTAATGGTGTAAAAATTAAACGTCAAGAGTTTTTATTGGTCATAATCGCCGACGTTATGTATTTATTACATATGATGCAATTATTTGGCCATTGACCTATCAAATTTTATATAAAAATTAAAACATAACAAGAATATTTTATCAGTGACCTCTAAAATTTACTATATTTTTTAGATTTAATATATAGTATATAAATGCATCTAAAGATATGGCAAAAGAATGTTTATATTTATCTTTGGTAGTATCTAATAGTATCTATTTATTGCTTACTAGAGTTGGCGATAAAATATTATGTCCTTCTAATACATTTTGGACGAGGTTCTAAACAAAAATATTTATATAAATTATTAGCGCGTGGTGTGTTTAAAATTTAAAAAAATGAATATTAATTTTTATTATTTTTAGTAATTTTTATTAATTATTATGAATTTTTATTAATTATTATGAATTTTTATTAATTATTATGAATTATTATGAATTTTTATTAATTTTTATTAATTTTTATTAATTTTTATTAATTTTTATTAATTTTTATTAATTTTTATTAATTTTTATTAATTTTTATTAATTTTTATTAATTTTTATTAATTTTTATTAATTTTTATTAATTTTTATTAATTTTTATTAATTTTTATTAATTTTTATTAATTTTTATTAATTTTTATTAATTTTTATTAATTTTTATTAATTTTTATTAATTTTTATTAATTTTTATTAATTTTTATTAATTTTTATTAATTTTTATTAATTTTTATTAATTTTTATTAATTTTTATTAATTTTTATTAATTTTTATTAATTTTTATTAATTTTTATTAATTTTTATTAATTTTTATTAATTTTTATTAATTTTTATTAATTTTTATTAATTTTTATTAATTTTTATTAATTTTTATTAATTTTTATTAATTTTTATTAATTTTTATTAATTTTTATTAATTTTTATTAATTTTTATTAATTTTTATTAATTTTTATTAATTTTTATTAATTTTTATTAATTTTTATTAATTTTTATTAATTTTTATTAATTTTTATTAATTTTTATTAATTTTTATTAATTTTTATTAATTTTTATTAATTTTTATTAATTTTTATTAATTTTTATTAATTTTTATTAATTTTTATTAATTTTTATTAATTTTTATTAATTTTTATTAATTTTTATTAATTTTTATTAACTTTTATTAATTTTTATTAATTTTTATTAATTTTTATTAATTTATTTTAACTAATTTTTATTTAATTTTATTTATTTTTATTTATTTTTATTTATTTTAATTTATTTTAATACTTTTTTATTTGTTTTTATTTATTTTTAATTGGATTTTTATTTTTATTTGTTTTTATTTGTTTATATTTATTTTTATTTATGTTTATTTATTTATATTTATTTTTATATATTTTTATTTATTTTCATTTATTTTTATTTATTTTTATTTATTTTTATTTATTTTTATTTATTTTTATTTATTTTTATTTATTTTTATTTATTTTTATTTATTTTTATTTATTTTTATTTATTTTTATTTATTTTTATTTATTTTTATTTATTTTTATTTATTTTTATTTATTTTTATTTATTTTTATTTATTTTTATTTATTTTTATTTATTTTTATTTATTTTTATTTATTTTTATTTATTTTTATTTATTTTTATTTATTTTTATTTATTTTTATTTATTTTTATTTATTTTTATTTATTTTTATTTATTTTTATTTATTTTTATTTATTTTTATTTATTTTTATTTAATTTTATTTATTTTTATTTATTTTTATTTATTTTTATTTATTTTTATTTATTTTTATTTATTTTTATTTATTTTTATTTATTTTTATTTATTTTTATTTATTTTTATTTATTTTTATTTATTTTTATTTATTTATTTTTATTTATTTTTATTTATTTTTATTTATTTTTATTTATTTTTATTTATTTTTATTTATTTTTATTTATTTTTATTTATTTTTATTTATTTTTATTTATTTTTATTTATTTTTATTTATTTTTATTTATTTTTTTTTCTTTTATTTTTACCATACTCCCCATTTTTCTTCCTTCCCGAAAGTCTTATTCAAACTTTCACCTTTCGTTTCCTCCCTTAATATGTAAAATCCAACTTTCACTCCCTACACATTTCCCCAATTTCCCCCATTTTCCTTCTTTCTCTCATTTTCCCTCTTACCGCAATTTTCCCTTTTTCCCCTCTTAAAATATGAAAATCCAAAAACTTGAAACACACCATTATTTATTTGTGAAAAGTAGCTATAATTCCAATTTTTCAGTTCCTACCTATAAAAAAATCGATACTTCCATGCATACTTTTAACCCCCGTTTCCCCCCCTTAAAATGTGAAAAACCAAAAACTCTGTAACACATTATTATTTATTTATGATCAGTAGCAGTATTTCAAATTTTCATGTTTCACTACCACTATGCAAAAAATTATGTCCGATCCCTTGTTCTGTAAAAAACAAAAACAAATCGATCCCAACGGAACCGTACAATTTTTCGGGATAAAAAGTAGCCTCTGTGCTATTCCAGACTATAATCTATATTTGTGCCAAATTTCATCCAGATCCATTCGGTCGTTCTTACATGATTGAGCAACAAACATCCATTAATACATCCATCCATACATCCATCCAAACTTTTGCATTTATATATTTATATGATTATTTATTAAAAGTTTGTAATTAAAATTTATGAGATTCAAGTTTTTAACCATACAGGTATCCCCAAATTTTATATTTTTTGGTTAATATTGATTTTGTATTAAAAGCCTCATAAAATAATTATTTGATCTTTCCTAAAAATAAAATCTGTGTTTAGTAAATTATTTATATTCAATACTATTTAAAAAACTAGTTAATGGATTTTACAAACTATAAAAAGTACCTATCCATTTTAAAAATCATGATTTTTATTAAATCTTTAACAGGTGCTGGGTATATAAATGTAGCAGAGTTATTAAGGATTATATGCCTGTTGTATTTAACTGAATCCTCAATTTTATAATACCCAGTTCGATAAAGATTGGTATCTAAAAAACAAATATTTACCACGATTTTACTTAGCACCATCTAATTAATAGTTAAATTATTCGCCAAAATTTATACCAGATAATGCCCCAATCTTTTGATTTTTGAATAATTTCATGTTTTTGTGAGTTAACGCTGAGTGGTACATATCATACGTACTGCAAAAACTTAGTAGTACAAATATGTACCGCCAGTTAAAAAACACCACGTATGATTTTGAAATGTCGTTGAGCTGTTAAACAATAGCAATTTAAAAAATATTTATTAAAAATATGCCAAAGAATTGCCAGTTAAAAGGTTAAATAGAAGTTTTTTTGTATGTCAAACGTAAATATGGAAAGAAGGTACACTATTAAAATAATTTAGATAAATTTAAAGTGACTTGAGAAATATCTTAATTTATAAAAGCCAATCAATTTTTAATGAAGACATTATAATATTTTATTCTTATAAAAATTCTTCAATTTATTACTTCTTTTAATTATTCTACACAAGATACGAATTAATTACAAAAAAATATTTAAATTTAAATAGTCACATCTGTACCTACGTTCCGAAATTATGCTATATGTTAATTTTAGTAACTGTTTAAACGTTAATTTTCATTTCGCTAATTAATGCTAAACATCAATAAAACCTTCTAACATGGCCATTATTTCTCGTTATTTCAAAACAAACGAATTGACACTCAGAATCTAATGTGTAGAGCAAATATTGTGTCCCATAAATTTTAACGATGGCAAGCAGCCTCACAATTTACAACCCTAGTGGGTCTCCAAATCTGAGGCCGTCAATACAAAGTGAAGTCGTTTTACGTGCGTGACTCGTTATAGTCAGCTGTTGTGATGTCACGTGATTTAACGTCATTCATAAAGCCTTATGTATTCCTATACCGCAATATACTTTTTTTGTTTACCTAAACTGAATTTCAGGTGGTAATAACACGACACTACGACTTTTTAAATATTGCCGAAGAACATTCATCATAAAGATAACGTACCACTTTTACTAGGCAATAAAACTGACCTACGCGAATAATGTACAAGAATGGAAAGCCATACCAAGTAGCTGATATAGTATCTAGTCAGCAAAATTTAAATCACGTTTTACTATATTTTCTGTATGCATTCAAATTCGTAACAATTATACCTAATATATTTAAAGTGAAGGTCTATAAACTGTGTAATGTATTCGACGATAAAATTTTATTATTATGGCTCCGATTTCATTATCATTTATTCATCTTTTTATGCTACTGATCTTGAACTTTAAAACAGAAATCGGAAATTAATTTATGTTCTTCCATTACTGGGAATATCGATCTTACGCCGTTTTAACCCAACGAAACATCCAAACTTCTGTCTCGACAATGATCAAGTCGAGTTCGGCGACCGACCCTCGGAAAATAAACAGACGGAGCGCAATTTTGAATCGTGGGGCCATCTAGCGTTAAAGCGTGTAACCAATCGCACGCACATTTCATATAAAACTCGTTTAATTTGAATTTGAATGTTTGAATAGTATACGGAACTCACCTGGAGGAGGGTAAGGTGTAGACGGAACAGGTTCAGGTGCGTAATTGCCAAGGCCGTAACCTCTGTCGTGGCCGTGGGTGAAGGAAGCGGTTTCTGCAACCATCGCAGCGGCTGCGGCGGCTCTCCCTCGGTCATCTGCGGGCAAATAAGGGACGGTTTGATGGGCATCCACATGGTGCCTGGATGCGGAGTACGGAGGGTAATTGCACCAAGAACTTCCAGAAAAACCTTGATGACATGATGAAACAGCAGGATCAGCACCGTGACCTCCAGATACACTACTGTAGGGCTTATATTCGGGAGTTCCAGTAGCTGCTGTAACCGCTGGAGGCCAAAATAAAGGTCCTTTTCGATCTCTGTTACCTGAACCATCAGCGAGATTATAGTACGTCGGAGAATTATATTGATGGTGATTCAATGCTACTGTGGGCTCAAATGCAGTCTGGTGGTCTGTAGGTGAATACGATGTCGTCCATGGTTGGTGACCGTGCCTAATGACACCGTCTCCGCAGTCTCCATACACTCCAGATGTTAATCTTTTGGCCGGAACCTGAAGAGGTCCTGCAGAACCACTATTACTAGTCACACTGGCGGGTGAAGAGCTCGACGTCGCCGATGTGGTAGCTGCAGGAGGCGGCACCGTGCTCGGACTTGTCATTCCACTATTGCTAATCGGCGTAGCAGCGCTCTGGGGGGCTGGAGGGGGGCTCTCTTCGTAAAGGCTGCCGTTCATCATGGACCACCACGCTACCCCGGTGGAAGACCCCGCTCCGGTGGCTGGGGAGGATCCGGGAGGATGCACATGGTCATAAAGGGTAGGCGCGGCGCACGCCACGGGGTCGGCGATGGTGAGGATGATGATCAGGCAATTAAATTACAGCATCCAAGAAACAGATGACATAAGTAAAAATGGATGCGATATGTCACACGAAGTCACACCAGTCCAAGAAGATGGTTTATGAAAAAGAAAACACTACAATAAGCAAATTGAATGAACTTCTGCCACGCATTAAAAAATATTAAACACAATATATTTTTCTATGTCTATGAATACAGTCTTTGACAGCAACTGACACTTTCATTTGACTTATAACAAAATTTTTTCCACCAGTTTATTAATATTATTCCCGAAAAAAAAATAAATTTTATCGCCAACTAAAAATATTTTCGAAAACTTTAAATTTTTTTCGAACACCACGAATACTTCGCGAAATATGTTGCGCTCGAGCATATGTAGTGACAGTAACGTACAGGTTGCGAACACACACTGAAGTCGTGTGGATCTGGCGTTTAACTCTGTCGGCTTGGATCGTGGACGCGCGTGCGATCTAGCGGCAGTGGGTAGAAAACGCAGTGATGTGTTGTCGTGATGTACCGCGATCTAGCTGCGACACACGTTCATTAATTCGTAGCTACCAGTGGAGAACGAAGAGCTCTCTTTCATTTCTTGGATTACATCGTTTCGTACTTATTACTTTTTTTACCCTTTCCTGCTGAATATAGTTTAAGAATTGGACCTTGATAGCCGATGTTTCTTTGCGAAACGTTTCGTTAATAGCATACAGATGAAATTTTTTTACCTCACTAAATATATTTTTTTAATTTGACAAAATAATTTGATCAACGAATTCCATAAAATCGTTAAGAATTGTTTACCTAATTTATACAATAAATTCCAATAGGCATAATTAATTGTAATTAATAAATCAATGTTAATTTATTTAAGGATGAGTGCCATAAAATACTCTAATAGCTAAGCGGCGATCAAAGACTGTCATTATATATTAAGAGATTTTTAATATTATGATAGCAATAAAAATCAAAAAACCAACTCATTAAAAATCCACATAAAAAATTAATCCAGTAGCTCTACAATAAAAAGATAAAATACATAATCTGAATGAAAGACAAGTTTCTTACATTTCGAAAGCAGTTTGGTTATTGTCTCTTGTAGTTTAATAATTTAATTACAACATTAATGTATTTTGTATGAATGAATTTTACGAGTGTTAACTATTGTTAAAACATATCAAATGTTTTTATGCTAGTTATAACTTAAGTTAATAACCGTTTAATTATCATATTAAACTTTTTACACATCATAACTTGCCTCTCTTATAGCAAAACCAATAGAAATGGGTAATTTTGGTTAAATAGAAATACAATACTTATAGTTTGCAACCGAAGGTTAGTAAATTAAATTGTTTGTCTTTCACAATTTATTCTTATTACTAATTATTTATATTGCATCTTTACTTAAAAGAATTTAGCGCCAAAAAATTAAATAAATACAGGTTTAATAATATTTAATTAATAGGGAAGTATTATTAGAAGTGTCAATTTTTTTAATTATTAAATGCAAATATTAAAATAGCTTTAATCGCAAAATTTAAACTCTTAAAATTTAATAGTTTCATGTCTATTTTGAATACCAATTTATTCATCATATCACCGAAAATACAAAACACAGCACATAGAAAAATATTTTGAAGTTTAGTGGAAACCTGCTGGGTCTGTGTAAAAATAATATTTGTGCCAACTAGGTACCCTATTGTTATATTTAATGATATATACATATATTTCAACAATGAACATTTTATGGTAATTTTATATTTCAACTTTTACTTTTTTTAATATTTACAATTTGTCAGAATCTGCCATTTTGATAAATAATAGCTTGGTGTTTAATTAGTACTTCTAAATTAGCAATTATGACTTCAAATTAGTTATTTTAAAATTATGGACTTCATACAAAATATTCTTAACAATTGGTGGGAATTAATACCGGGTTGTGTAGTTATAAAATTAACAATGGTTATATATTCCTTAAAAATAATAATAAAAAAATAATTAACCATTACATAATAATATTCTTAATTAAAATAATAACTCAATTATACATTTCAGTAAATAATATTTATATCTATGCTATATCTACACCATTTCATTTTTAACAAATTGAGTGGTACTTATACCAGAGATAGTACTATGTACATGTGTCTTGAAAAGTAACCAATTACTTTGTTATATACATCCAATTATTAAAATAATACAGGGTGCTTTATACATTTAAGTAAGACGATTTTTATACTCTCGACCAGAGATTACTTTTCTTTTTTCATAATCAGTACTTATTATTAATAAATCTATATATTGCACAAAGACACCGCAGAGGCACTAACTTGAAAAACACACGAACGCACAGTGGTAAAACTGTAAAAAAATGATCGATACATTTTATTATTACTAAGTGACTGTGGACTCTTGCACTTACTGATTTTGTCAGGCAGACAAAATGTTCCAACTTGCTAAATTCTTATCACTTGTATATTTTCATGTTTCCTATTAGCTCCATTGACCATTCGTGGTTTTCTATTTTTTCTCCACTGCTTATTATGTTTTGTTTAATCCACGTTTGACTGTGACATCCAGTTATAATGTTGTGGAATTGAATGTCTTTCAATCATATTGGGTCGTGAGTGATGGGTTAATGGAGTCCACATTGATTTATATATTATGGTTTTTGAATTCCCGTGTTTGGATTTTTTGTTCATTTATATATTTAAAATATACTGATTTTTGCAAGCCCTTTGTAAGTAATTATGTAGTTCCATTATGGGTCATGCCACCATAAGACCTAACCGACTAGCGTTTACCCATCGACGACGTGGAATGGATGAGTGAGTGATTTGGTAAATGAGAAATTATGACCTTTAAATGGTGATACAATAAGTCGCAGACTGCAGTGCTGCCACGCTATAGATTAGGGTGATAGCACGGAATAGTAAGGGTTCATATAAAAAAAAAATAATAATAAATAATAGTCCTAGAAGGTATCTATTTACTACATTATAATTCTGATTGACCTTCTTCTTTAAATAAATACGTATATTAGAGTTAAAGTTTCTTCTGAGAGTGAAGAAGAACCGAGAAGGAGAATGGGGAGGATGAGGAGAAGGATATCAATCTCTACTCAAAAAGTTATTTAAAAATAAAAATTAGAAAATATTGAATCTAATTACGATGTAGTTGAAAGGACAAAAAATTTCAATATAATCCATTAGAAGGGCAACTGCAAACGAGAAATTACTTCCAAGAAAAAATGGAATCAAAGGTCTCTGGTTAGTCTTATTTAGATCACTGCATGTTGGATAATATTAGAAGAAAGGTGTTACATTTTTATATTAAAAATTGAATTAAGTTGGTTCCCATACAAGTCCAATAATACTATTAGAAATGTACGCCATTTGGATTTTAGATACCGTACCTTAAATATGATATCTGAAAAAATTATTATTTTACATAATAGACACATCAGTAGATCCTATGAAATTCCTCGGTATGATAGATTCATGGTCTATTCAGATGAGACTTGGTAGGATACTAATCATATTGTTTTGAAAGGATAGAGTGATAAATTTGCTAAATGCTATGTGAATGACATATAAATAAATGAAAATGTCGATAATGAAACCTGTTTTGTAATGAATTCTTTGCTATTATTGGCAAAGAAGGTTCATTATCACCAAGATATGACATCTATCTGATTCGAGAACTGATTTGGCGAACAACTAATTTCAAATTAGCCACCAAATACTGTAATAATATTGAATAATACTCCTTTCCATTCTTGGCAAATTAAATTCTAAAAGCGAAAACTAGACAAGAGATCTCTTATCGTTTTAATATTAAATTGGTATATCATATCCACCCACGGCTTTAAAAAAGAGATTTGCTTACCATATTGAATAATCTCACGTCACTGCACATCTTCATACAAGGAAAAACCAGGTCAGCTATTTACAGGCTAATGCAGGGACAAAACCCAATTAGTCCCCTACATAGCGCCGACCACAGAAGGCTATATGAGCAAGTAAAAAGGGATAATATTCTAGCTATGTCTACTGATAGAGAAATAACTACATACAAATTTAAAAGAAATTTTCAAATTCAAATACCAGCTCGAGAATCCTGGAAACAGGCACCTCCCGTACAGGCTGAACTCATCTGGTACACAGACGGTTCAAAAACCAAGGAAGGAGCCGGTGCTGGAATCTATAGAGCCAAGTCGAAAACAACGATTTTGCTGAGTTCCAGGCTAAATTAATAGCCATACAACACTGTCCAAGAGATATACTAAATTAGCAAGTGTCAGGCAAAACTATTGCCATATACTCTAATAGCCAAGTAGCTCTAAAGGCAATTCTCTCAACAGAAATTAAATCACGACTGGTAAAAGACTGTCTAGAAGACCTGGCAGAGCTAAGTAGTCAAAACAAGGTGACCCTAGCCTGGGGGCCAGGCCACGAGTGATATCAGGGCAACGAAAAGGCCGACGAATTAGCCCGAGAAGGCCCATGACAGGCCTTCTGTGGAGTTGCTAAGGCATTGTGCAAGGCATCCATCAAACAATAGATGCAAAAAAAGACTCAGGAATGGTGGAACAACTATCCAAGACTGAGACAGGCCAAACAGTTCATCAAGGAACCATCGGCCAAGTTCAAGAAAGACCTACTGGATGAAAAGCGTCAAATCGTTAGAATATCAGTAGGTCTTCTTACCGGACATTGTCGCCTTAAAAGGCACATGAATGTCATCAATCCAGCAGAAGAAGCAACTTTGTGCAAGTTCTGTGAAGAAGAAGAGAAAATATCATTCCATGTCGTGTGCCAATGTGAAGGCCTGGCTGGAATGAGGTTTCTAACATTGGGCGAAGAAAAGCCAAATGCATGCAACTACATGCGGGAGCCACTGTCAAACCTACTAAGTCTAATAAAATAGACCAAGCTAGACGACATACTCTAAAATGAACGGAGTCCCACAATAGATCTGAAAACGTCGCGGTGGACAAGGACAAATAACGTCCAACTCCCATTCTAATATAATCTATCATATTGAATGATTTAATTCATAAACCAAGCTATGTTATGGATACTGAATTCAATCATACCATAACACGATTACACTAATACCATTAGGAAGCAGCATCAAAAGGGAGATGAGTAAGAAACATGTTTCACCTATGTTCTCTGAAAGCGTTTTAATTGTTATCAGTCAGAGAAGTTGTTAGGGGTATATCTCGATAATTATGGTCCAGTTCCAGTTGTGTTCTTCATGTTAAGAAAATTAAAAATTCCTATCGAATATGTCCGCCTTATTCTTAAAGATATTATAAACCTAACGTCTAGTGAATATTATAGTTTTGAGACTTGATTTTTTTATTTGAGTGTATATACATTATCAAACGTAAATACGTATCTCTAGGTAAACGTTATTTTGGAAAGTAACATGGTATTGTTTCGGTTTTCCTTCTTTAGGAACATAACTTTAATA